TATCTCTGTGTCTGGGGGCGCACAATTTTAGACCAAGTGATAGAACTTCCATTAAAGTGGGGTTCAATTTCAGGCTTGAAAAGTTATGCATGTACCTCTCAGGTCTACTGGGGAAGTAGATTTAGGCTTAAGTTGGTTCAACGTCTTTGTTAGGGCCAAACGTTTTTGCCGTACACGACTCTCGGTAATGGACTGAACGTAATCTACAAACATCTGTTTCACGTCCAAAGCTAACTTCTCAACCGCATAATGGCGCTGTGCCATATTTCGCTCAAATTCGGCGATTTTTGGTTGCACCGTGTCATGCTGGTACAAAACATGCCGTCTAAACGTTTTGGCATTAGAATAGATTCGACTGCGGCGCAGTTGCTTCCAGAATCTACTGGGATATTCATTGAAGAACTGAACGCAGGTCTTAGCTTCGACAAGCCTAGTGGAGAACCTAAGAAACTGATCGCCTCGCTACAGCCGAGGCGTTTCGGTTGTATCAACCGCTTTTGTGTTCACAAAAGAAACTGATCGAAGCTCTTAAGCTACCCTGGCCAGATAAACTGGACGATTCGGAGGCCAGGAGCAATCGTTTGACAACATCGTTGCCCTAGTTTGCGCTTATCGTTTACGTTTATTGCTGGTTTACGCCCCCGTTTGGCACGTGATCTAATTTCATTTGCACTGATCGAAACCACCGTTACGCCGATTGCTCTTGTACCAATATGATTGTAAAGGTCTGACGAAAACAATTGTTCACCTTCGGTCCCTTATCATTGATGATTAAATGGGTATTTTTCGTTGCCTACGTCCCACCTTCAACTCTTTTTATCTTCTCAACAGTGCCAGTTTGTGTTTTGAACAGCAGTGTGGTGCACCCTGTGGACCATCTGGCTTCCCTTATTCCACCAACTGATTGTGTCATCGCACCCGATCGTCACTTACTTTTTGCTTGTTTTTTCTTCCACCAGAATGTTGGATGCGCTACTCTACTTCAAACCCCCTGTTTCTGTCGCACCGTCTATAGTTTCTCTCGAGCTCGCAACACTTGTGCCACACAGTCACTGCAATTGATTTTTGATTCGTCCAAACTATCTGTCGTTGAGCTGCATCGATGAGATCGTCAGTGTTCCCTAGTGTCCCAGTCGGTCGAACGGCAGGTCGATTGAGCTCATTTGTGTCTCCAAATGCATCAGCTGCTCATCTCCTCACACCACTGCCTCTTCCTTTTTGTTCTCTATGCTTATATTGATGCACTGTGAACGAATACCGCATCGGACTGTTGCACTCAATGGGAATTAATGGGCCACGTTCATCCTCATTGCCGTCTTGCATCACATAGACTGTTACGTTACCATGCAGTGTTGCGCGAATCTTCTCTCAATCCCTATTTTGTTTAGATCCTTTTCACCTCGAATTTGGCTGCTTTTACTTAATCCACCTAGATCACGTGACTCAGGGATTAATTCTTCACCCCACCCACGCGAGCGAGCCGTGGGTGCATACGGGTCAACACAGCTGTGATAACTGGGTAGCACTCACTGAGGAAATGCCTCGATACAAGACTTTCACTTCTCATGTTTCATGTTCTGCTTCCATATCATGCGAACTCCAGCCGTACCTGTAAGCAGGACTTGGCACAGTGTCTATATTTTCCGATTTTTGTTGGCTACATGCTCTAGCTTCTTACCAGGGATCCTTGCATATCGGTTCATTTAAACAGCTAGGGTGTGAGTCTATCGACAGTTTATCTCACTCTTCTGCTTCGATCAGATGGGGAACTTCATATTCACTATTTTGTGTATGAGTATACTAAGCAGAATATCCTTCCGATGGGTACAGTAGATTATTGACGAAGGAAGGATGCTATTTTGTTTAACCGTCTGATTATGTCTGCGTAAGCAACCCATCTATTCCAGTTGGTTTCATTGCTGTACTTCATTGTTACAATGGGTGTACGCTTCTTCAGATCCAACCGTTTCTGACGCCATTGGTTTAGTGGCCTTGTTGTCTTGGTAACTTTTCAATGGCTACTCTTATGTGCTTCATCGGCTGAACAATAGTAAACCCACACGTTATGCTCAGCCGGCCCGTGGTTTTAAGGATCCCAGACCTGCCTTGTAATCTGATGTCGTGGGTTCGAGTCTGCGTAGGGGACCGGGGGACCCTCGCGGTATCCTTTGCCCAAGCGCGACTAATAGTGGTTGCGCGGCAGCGAAGCTTCGGTGCTGCTTACCGGCGTAATGCTGCTACCGTTGTGCGCGCAACTCCAGTTGGCTTAACCGACTGTGCATGGTTATCTATGGTTTTCTGAATGAAATAACCAGCTTATAGTTCATTTTTAGCCGCATAGTATAATTTTACATAATATTTTTTGTTGTCTAGTAGCTGGCTGGTAGCTTTCCAGAACGATGCCCATCCGTTGCCGGTAGCTCAGCTGGCATTCAGCTGTTTTATTTCTTTTCTTCTTTTATTGCGGCACAGTAGCTGAGGTGTTTTACGCCTCTAACTAACGTGTATAGCAATAATAATAGTAATACTAATAATAAGGCTGTCCTTCATCATAGCCTCGTCTATCCTAGTCCTTTACTCAGGCGGGCTGTACAATGATTCACCTTTTTCTTCAAACAGGTTTCGAATTGGTTGGAACGATTAATAGATTCACATACACACCAGTTCACAATCCATACGCTTCGTCCATCTGATCATAAATCTTGCACTCATCGATCTACTACAGCGGTAAATAAGAATGCTGAAGGTTTCACTCCAGTGATCCAACATTCCGGTGGCCCGAATTACTGCTTTGTCATTCCGAATAAATCCGAGCCATTGTTTTTCGATTGAACGGTGTGTCATGTGATCCCGTGGTTCCTTTCGGCATGAGCTACTCTGCTTCCACGACACGTGATCCGACTCTGTTGAGTTTTAACGATCGACTCGTGCAACGACTAAGGTTAAAACAATCAAGTCTACATGCTCCCCGATGCGTGTTTTCACTAACTACTGCTCAGTTCGAACCTCGGTTTGAAATGTGACAACTACTAATTTCTTGCTCTCTTATAGCAACTCCGAACTACACCGGTTTCCATAAGTGACCTTGGCTCTCTTCTTGGCCGAACCGTGAACCGGGTGTATCGTTCGAACATGAATGACATTATCTCGGTCCGCTACGTTTGTCGTCATAGCACACGATAACGGATTTTTTGACAATACACCGAGACGCCCCAATGCCAAGCAGTGCCACTTGTATACTAGCGTCCTCATTTCCAGGAAATTTGGCTTGGCTGTTTTATCGCATTGCGTTTCACCAAACCTAACTTCGGTCATTTGAAAAGGCAGTTGCAATATGCCCGATTCCAGACATTGCGGCTGTCTCTTATAGTGCACCATGGTGGGTACCGATGGAATACAAGGTACTTGAGTACTTTGTGATTTTGTCGATTCCTTGGACAAACGGAACACTTTCGGTATACCTCTGCATCACCATTTCATTTTACGTCGAAAACGACCCTCAGCATAACGACTGCTATTTTTCTCCTCGTTCTGTCATTTTTTGCGTATGTTTGCTAGTTTCCTCTGTTTTATCACCCATGCTTCATGATGCCTTGGAATTTTCCTCAAACACATTTGAAAAAACAACAAGGACAGATTGTCGTAGCTGACCTCCTCTTACATAATCCATAGATTTGAGTCCAACTGCTGTGCAACGTGTTGATCTAACGGTTCGTCAACTGTTTGGTCGCATGAAGGAACATATCCCTAAGTGGTTGGTCAACAGGGCACGAGTTCTGGCAAGCGGAATTTCGCCCCACCTGTTTGAACCAGATCACAGGGTTAACCTCCCCAATACGTTTGCTATGGTTTACCAAGTCCCTATGAACAGACTGAAATGTCTGCGTTTAAGACTGTTCACCACAGCAGAGGCTAATGCGATCCGAATATCCCAACCCCTGTTATACTCACAAAAAATTTGTTCACTTCCCTCACCTACCGTGATCGAACGGTAATCAGTCTGTCACCCTGACATCTGTTCCGTCAGTTTGGTTACGTGGCGCCTCGGTGGAGAATTTTTACAGTCTACTCATTATCCTCCATATGTCTAAACAAACGTCTGAACCAATCGCCGCCCGTTTCTTCATATGTTAATAATAATTCATATGATTCGCATCCGTCCGCAGATGAATCATTGAAATCACTCGTTCGCCTCAGTTCTGTGTTCTATATGTGACGCTGAGAAGGTTTAATATACTTGCAAAATGAATACATTTTTGGTGTCGCCTCTTCGCAACACGGCACTGCACCGCGTTCAACATTTAGTAATATTCGGATTACGAATCGAACCCGGAACCCTTGGGCTGTCGGTCGAAGCCCCCTAGTGCTGAACCTCAGCGTTGCAGCTGGTCACGCTTCTCACATCGGTTACTTGTCAAGTTAGCCATCAGCTTAGCACTGAGGATAATTCACTTTTGTTTGAAGTTTCAGCTTTGTTGTTCCTTAGTGTAGTGAGAAAGTGGTATCATTTTTTCGTTTTTGGAATCGCCTCACCTTACTGTGTGGCTACCATCGAATTGCGACGGCGAGTGCATTTTTCCACCACCTGCGACTTTCACTTGAGGCTGTACATTAGCCCTGACTAGCATCGACATTCTCGCGGATCCGGGGACCTTGAGCCACATCAAACCGGATACAGAGCGGACCACCCTGTCTTTTCTTACTCCAAGTTTCCATCTCAATGTTCGAGCTCTCTATACTTGTTGTTATTTTTGAGTATACTTCACGTGCCGACGATGAAAATGGGCCCGGATTATGGCGTGCACTGCTCATTGTCTTCATCGACGTCGTTCCTGGTTGACTCTGTTCCTCTTCATCTTCTTCCGCTGGTTCCCCTAGCTGACGTTCCACAGTTCCTCAGAAGTGTATAACCTAGCCTTACCGCTGATATTCTGTTGTTTCCCCATCAGGTACTTATACACCCGTCACATCTTTCACTTCGTTTTATTCTTGTCTTTCAGATTCTGTGCCCATTGCAGCAGAGAAGCGGTCATTCTGAGTGCTTTTGCGGCTCCCAGTTTTACTGCACCGCCTTGTCTCTTCTTCCTCGCATTTGAGGGCATTTTCGTCATTTTGATTAAAGTTGTACATGATTCAACGAACTTACTTCTCTGTTATAAATCAAGATACCCAGACTATTGAGTATGCAGTGCTCGGAGATTATTTCTAAGTCCCTGGAAATTTTCTTGCGTGACAATCTCGCTTAACGAATACCTTACTGTTCTTTTGACATGGTGTTCCGTTCCCTTCATCCGGTTTTACTATTTATGTCAGTAATTAAAACATTGGATGGTGAGTCAGACTCTATTGTCTGGGTCGTGTTACCCTCAGTGTACGCGGATTTTTGCTTGTAGTAAATAAATGGATTCGATTGTATCCTGTCTTATTTGCGGCCTTGTATTCCTCTTTACGGGGATATCGCCATATTTGCTCTAGGGATAGATTGCTTTTTTACACGTTATCGTGTGGAAGAACTAAAAAATATAAGAAATCTCTCCTGTCTTTTCATCTCGTTAGAGAAAACTAGAACAAAGATGACCGGGTTCGAGCAGATTAATTCGTGAGATGTGCGGCGCGGACTCGATGCACCTTCAGTGAGCATGTGCAGATTGGCTACCCATTAGCGCTTGTTTTTTGTAGACCTTATTTAGACGCGACGCAGATCATCTGTCATACATTCACATCGTGGGAGAGGCTGATGGCCGACAGAGTAGGGTACCGCACCTTAGTCCTCAATTCATCGATACTCGAATCTAGGTGCACCTGTGTTTGCCTTGTCTACTGGCTGAATGAAGTGATACTAGTTACATCGATCCCCACCTGCCTTTTAGCTAACCCTCTGCTTCCGATGCTACAACAAAACTGCAGCGTGTAGTCACGAATTCCCATGAGGATAAACTGCTGTTTACTGATGTAATTCTGCCTGTGAACTGCATCAAGCGCGTCACGAACTACCCTTTTTAACAATACGATTTCATGTGCTTCACAGAAGGACTGTGTTACCGCTCCGTGTATAGACCTTGAACGCTGGCTGGTGATAAGCACCTTGCACAATTTTACTAAGACCACTCGTTGTATACTGTTTTAATGATAAAGGGGAGACTGGTTTGAACATTTTCTGCGTTGATCGTCCTGCACTTAATGATATGGAAGGATGCTCAGTAAAACCTGGTCTAATCCTGGGTGCTGACGTTGATGTCTACCGTTTTTACCATGACCACTGTGAATGCTTGCCACAGCCATTTCTATGCACTGAAGGTCCCGTTGCAAGATTGTATTACGTCGAACTCTTAACTTGGATCGTGCTTCCCCCTTAATCCTACTGAAATTGGCTTATCGGAATAGCTCAGTTGGGGACGAAACCAGTCATGAAGTATAGTCGAGAGAACTCGATCAGCTGTTTACTTCGGAGATGATCATGGTACTTGGAATAGCCTAGATTTACTTCTATGTAGATCTCAGTCCAGAGTACGATTATCCGTCGCAATCCAAACACAGTAAATAATAGTATGTATATTTCTCTTCAAGTGAGATTCTGCCTCCATATTTGCACAGATCGTATATGTACATGATCTTGCATGAGCAGTATGTAGTTGTGGCGAATAAAAAACAACAGTACATTCTTCGATGGTGCGAGGCACAGTCCAACTAGATGGTACGATTGTTGATATTCAGCGGATTCGAAAGGAGCAAAGGTTTTCTTTTTTGAATTTTCTAATGCTCAAACTATGTTTGGCGGACATGGCTGATTGATCACTTGAATCTTTCAAGAAGATTGAGATGTTTTCAAAAATAAAAAAATTTAGGTAAATCCAAATGTATAAGTGAAGTAATATGGTCATCCGTGGAGTCGTCTCCTGGGAGGCGGGGGGGGGACTACTTCCATGCCGATTATTCTCCATGGATTTCACCCGCACTTCTATGCCCCCTCTGGCCATGTGCCGGTGTAGCTATTTAAGCAGGTAAGCCCACAACTATGTAACTTATCTTTAGGGCTGTACTCCTGTGTATGTATTGTGGGCACTCGAGTCATCCAGCCCGTACCATCAGTCGATTATTTTTGCATCAAGCGCTTTTTTCTCTCCAGGGAACCAATGGCAATACGCCCTGCATGAGTATATTTATTGGTGTTGGAAGCTTCAATCCGTCACATCAAGAGATAGATCCAGTCGTGGCCAACAGTGGAGTGAAGGAAAATATATCGAGGTAGAAGCGTAGTAACAATAATGATATCTAATAAAGAAATAACACCTTTTGCTTCTGCGCAAGCAAGACAAAGCGATCAAATTGTACAAGGGTAGTGTTGATAAGTGATGACGGCTCGAATTATCCATATGTAAGACAGTTCTGAAGAATTATCAGGTTCATCATCATTTGCATACGTTCGAAAAATACAGAAATTGATGGCGCTGAGCAATGAGACTTGCTCTCTGTTACTGGGCTGTCGCCTCCGGAAAAAAAGAAATATTTAACATTACAGTACGAATGTAAATGAAGGAGTCACAAGTAAATAAAAAGAAAAGAAGTCCTTATCCCTGTAGTGCGAGACAATGACCATGTAGTTAATGTGATCAGATTTGCAATCAAATAAATAAACTTTTATTCTCGACAATGCGAGGCACACCTTTACAGGCATGATCAGGTTAAGCTAACATAGTGTCGTCAAAAATGTACAAAAATACATGTTAGGCATGACAGTGAATGTGCGTATGGGTATATTATATACGTATGTAATTATATATGGTGGCGGGAGAGCCTATGGGGCACTAAGGCTGGTGGTGGCTTGATCCTGACAGATGATCTACCCACTGCTGCTACTGTTGCGCCATTGGCACATGTCCTGGACGCCTCCTCGTGGCGATCGCTGGTGGGAATTGGGTTTCGCCCTTCTCCCTGCTAAGATTTAGGACACCAATCCGCATGAGTCAGTGAACTGACCATGTGCTAGACCCGCTGCCTTTCCGGTGTACATTTAATTAAAGACTTTGGCTGAGGACCCGAGTCGTTCTCCTGTCAGGTGTGGGCGCCCTGCCAATATCCTAGTCCATCCTCTTCGGAGGTTAGGAAGTGGTCGATGACCCTCTTCCCGTAAAACCTAACCATGGGAGACAACAGGTCCACGGGTTATAAGCTCACAGCTCGATTGACGTAGAGCACGAGCGCCACGCATTGTCTCTGACGGTGGGAGGGCACCTCCGGGTGTTCAGTGGTTTACTAATTCCTGCCTTAAATCAGGCAGCCCCTGGTCAAATTGGTACAAACCCGCCAAAACCCACCTGCGTCTGGCCGTGGTCGCAGGCGCGTATCTTACTACGGTCACGAAACATAAATGAATCGTTCCAATACCTCCAAGGCTGCGTGTGACGGCAGTCAAGCAGATCCCAATCTGTCTCTGCAATCACATTCCCGAGCTGGATCTGCTCATCACTGCCTTGTGGGTCAGGCTATTGAGCCAAAGGCTCCGGGCGGAGTTCCTCAAGCAAATCTCCAAGCCACCCACTACCTTCTGGGTCAGGCTATTGAGCCAAAGGCTCCAGGCGGAGTCCCTCAAGTAAACCTCCAAATCAACCACTGCCATGTGGGTAAGGCCATTAACCCAAAAGCTCCGGGCGGAGTCCCTCAAGCAAACCTCCGAAGCACAACGACCACCTAGCGTGCGATTTCCCACCAATTCAATCGTATGGCTGCGCGCAAAGCACTCAGCATCGGGTGCTGGAACGTGCGCACACTACTGGACCGGAATTCCAGTGAGTGCCACGAGCGACGCACTGCACTCGTCGCGATGGAGCTCGCGCGTTACCACATCGATATTGCAGCGCTCAGTGAAACCCCGCTCGCTGAACAAGGTAAGTTGCATGAAGCAGGTGCTGGCTACACATTCTACTGGGTGGGCAACGCCACCACAGCACCACTTGAACATGAGGTCGGATTTGCAATATCCGATCGCCTCCATGGCCAGCTGGTGGGTGAACCAACAGGCATCAGCGCGCGACTGATGACTGTTCGCCTACGACTCGGAAGATGTAAGTTTGCCATTTTTCTATGCACGTACGGTTCGATCATGTGTTATCCTGATGACACGCATGATCAATTCTACAGTCAGCTATCCTCCGTGATACGGTCTGTGCCGAGGAGCGACCGACTATTTCTGCTGGGTGATTTCAACGCGCGCGTTGGGCGTGATGCATCGGTGTGGACAGATATTATCGGTTCGCATGGCATTGGTTCAGCGAATGCGAACGGTGACAGGCTGCTCTCACTGTGTGCCACTCACGGCCTGACGATCACGAACCCTCGGTTTGCACTGAGTGCGAGTGATATAGCAACTTGGACGCACCCACGGAGTGATCACGCTCACCTGCTCGACTATGTCATCGTACGTCAGCGTGATATGCGTGAAGTGCGCATGACACGTGTACTGCGTAGAGCTGAGTGTGGTACTGATCACAAATTGGTGCGGACCAAACTGTACATATGTTTTCGTAAATCTATCCATAGCACTCCTGCCGTGAATCGGCGTTAATTTTAACTTTCCCTCGCTACTGTGGAGTAACCTACTGAGCTGGAGAAGGCGATGGCTGCACACCTGCGTGATGTGGCCTGCATAGCCACAGCGGGCGACCTGTGGCACCACATTCGCGACCAGGTGACAGCTGCTGCCGAGGAGACTATCGGGCGCGCAAACTATAAGCGGCCTGATTGGTTTGATGAGAACAATGCGACGATTGGTGTCGGGGAAGAATGCAGCATTTGCTGCACATGTCGCAGACCCCAGTGACTTGGGGAAGAAGAGTCAGTTTTGCAAACTTCGACGGCGACTGACCCGAGAGCTCCGTTGCGTAATTAATGCATGATGGACGGAGAAGGCGAAGCAGATGGGATGCTACGCCGAACGCCGCCAACACAAAGAATTCTTTTACTCCTTGAAGGTGGTGTATGGGCCGAGGTTGGAGCCGCTGAGGACGCTGATCGATGGCAGCTCAGGCGCTACCTGCACACAGACATAATGCAGATCTGGCAAACACACTTTGACTGTCTCTTGAACAACCGTTCAGAGATCGACTGACCTACTTTGAATGGCCTGAAACAGCACGATGTGAAGGCGAGTCTTGCAGACGCCTTTACTCGGGATGAGACTCAGAGAGCACTTGCTCAGCTGCGAAATGGCAAGTGTACCGGTGCCGACGGGATCCCGCCTGAAGTATTGAAACACGGCGGACCCGCGTTGTTGACTACGCTGCACCACTTGGTGCAACGCGTATGGATTGAGGAGGATGTGCTTGCTGAGCTGAATGATGCGCTTGTGCTACCACTGCACAAATGCAAACGGAGCAAGCAATGCGCGATACATCGTGGCATCATTTTGCTGAGTTGTG